TGCTATTTGTGTGGCCTGGAAAGTTGTAGAGCACTTGGTGATTCCGTCACAGTTAGAATGTTGCCTATGTAGGCATTAGAGTGCAAAGAAGCTCACTAGATTTAGGATCAGAGCTTGTGCGTGTGTATGCTGCAAAATAACCCACTTTTTCCACATATTAAGTGTGCGTGCTAGTATTGCTAGTATATGTGTGTATGTGATGCATTGATGGTACACAGATGGTGTGAAATCTGTTCATGTGGTTTAAAAAAGCAGAGATAGTCCTGGTATGTGTCAGAATATCAATAAAACTTCACAGCAGTGTGTGTGTGTACTTGTTTATGCTACAGTAAAACCTGACATTTTTGACATTGTGGGAACCGGCCTGAGGTCCCCACGTGGGAAAAAATATTAAAAATAGTAAATGATGTTTATCTGAAAGTGTAGCTATGCAAACAGGTTTCCTGTAAGGGGTAGGTTTAAGGTTAGGGGATAAAACATATCGTTTGGCCAGTATAAAAGTAATTAGAGTCTATGGAAAGTCCCCATAATTCACAGAAACAAACGTGTGTGTATGTGTGTGTTGACAGTTATGCAAATGCTGAGGGAGCCCAGTGTGTAACATTTAAGTTTAGATTAATGTAAGACCAGCTCCAGCATATGTACGGGCCAATAAACATAAGAATTTGAAGGGCGCACACCATACACGCAAACGAAAAGATTAAATGCTAACCTCTCGCCACCAGCCAACCCTCCAATTCACTGGCGAACTCTCCGCACACACAAACAGCTGAACGAAAACAAACACGGGCACACACAGTTACGCTATCTATGAGGCCCAGACGGACCCTCTCCCCTCAGGCGGCCATTAGCAGAGCGAAGGTGAGTTACAGAGAAAGAGGAATACACACCGTATGATACGACCTGTCAATCACGCGCAGAGCCTCAGAGGAGTATGGGAAAATATTTCTGCATTTAAATTTGACTATAATGTCATATTGTGCTGGAACCACTTTAATAACGCCACGGTTTTGGGGAGAAGCGTCTGTCGGTGGAAAGAGGTACAGATTCTGAATAAATATTTGAATTGAAGGGATCCGTTTAATCTCCCGGTGAATGAACCGAAAGAAAATGAATGATTATGAAACTGATAACGAAATATTTCGAATCAAAGCATGTGTGTCCAAATGCGCTTGCGCTTTTGTCTTAACAGCTTCGTCTCTGACAGCCTGTCAGTGGCCTGCTGCCGTGGATATTATTGGACTGAAAAACAACTCTATCGCACTCCGCCAGAGTCTGTTTCAAGAACAAACAGACGCTCAAATGCAGCAGCCGTCGGTTCTTACGACTATACTGTGAAGGGTCATGTGGGGTTTTGGTAGTGAGGGGTTTTTATGGCGCCTGTCAAAGTGCCCATTTGATTTAGTGCCCGGACTTGACGGGGGCAACACATCAAACACTGATATAGAGAGATGAACCAAGAAGGAAGACAGAACGAACGAAACCGGGAGGGGAAGGGAGTGACTGTGCCATTAAAATGCCAGTGATGTCATCCAGCACTTATTATGAGCCAGCAGCGAACCGTATCGAGTCAATGGACAAACAGAGTAACAACAGAGTTGGAATGTGGGAAGATATTATGAGATCAAGTGAACGAGAAGGAATAAGTAAAGAGGGAAATCTAACAAAGAAATGCCAAAAACAGCATAAAACAACAAGTAGTGGTAAAAACACCCTCTGGGAGTTTTGAGAACCACTGTTATAAAGGTGAATGATAGCCACGATAAACAAGCTCAGAGGGGAGTTTTTTAGTTTTATCAGCGAGTTTTACTGCATGGAATGTAATTTTTATTTGATAGAGTGTCTGGGTTGGAAAGAGAGAGAAAAGCAAGAAAAAGAAAAAGAGAGTAAGGGAACAGGTGCACCAAACAGTTTTTCCCCAATGTCTTATCTCAACATCTTTTTAAACATATTAACATGAAATCAGAATTGTTTATAGAAATACTGTTGAGTTAGTTAGAAACAGTCTTTATCACAACTCAGTATCAAGGCATCTCAAATTATGATATTAGGTTAGCTGACAAATGTAAACAAATAAAAGTGTAACAGCCAGTACTGAATGACTACGTAAAATGTAAAATGCTAAAACAGGGTTTGGTGTCATTGTGTGGTCACTATTGGAATTTTTTGGTAGGTATTGAAATGCTTTGGGTGGCTTAGGTCAACATTAACCAGGCCAGATGGCCCGCCTTTGCTAAACAGAGAAGCTGGACAAAGAAAAAACAAAATACGGCCTAACCCATGGCCTGGCTAGCCGAGGAAGTGTTTTACATCTTTTAAAATTTAGGCAGCAGAGTATATCACATGATGCTGGTGTGAAGAAGAAATTATACATTTACAAAGAAACACCAAAATAAGGTATGAAAAAGCCTGACAATGGTTCCTCCAGGCCTGCAGGGGGCAGCAGTTCAGAAATGCATCTCTCTTGAATACCACAGTATAAAAACTCATTCAAATAATGACACAACAGTCTCTGGCTGCATCCGAAATTGCATATTTTCTACTATATAGTTGGCGAAAAAGAGCATGGGACAAAGGAAGTATGTCCAAACTCACAGTACTCATAAAACAGAAGGGAAAAGTACCCAGATGACCTACTACGTCCGGTGAGATTCTGAAGCGTGCATACATCCAGATGACATTCATACTATATAGAACACACCTTTTCAGTGGCCGCGAAGTAATTACTTATTCAAAATAAGTACCTACTCAAGAGAGTATGCGATTTCGGACGCAGCCATTGTAAATGGTTGTGCATCAGAAAAAAAATCTGGAAAATATATGCAGTGAAAAAAAAAATCCTGTCCATTCAGAATTAACAAGTATCAATTATTTCGCAGACATAACTCAAAAACAAAGCGTAATAAAGCTCTGCTCGTAGATATTCAATTTACTTGCTAATAAAAATCAATGTCTTTCAAAGATTGTATGCCTTAAGTGATTTAAACAAATACAGGATGACCAGTGTAGTCTGATTCCCGAACAAATAAAAGTTATTATTTTTTTGTTATTTTCATCTTAAGGTTTGTGTGACACCTCAGTGTGGTTCCTGACTCAATATTCATATGACAATGTGCAGATAAAGATACACATTGTTTTTTTTGTAATTGGTTGTATTTTATAAAAAACAAATGAATGATGTTAAAAATATGAAAATCTTACCACTTTTTTGACATGTTTAGTTTTTTATTTAATACACAGTTAGGACTAATTGGATTGAATTTATGTCACCACTAAAAACTCTGTGAAAAGTCCATCATTTGGCAACAGACTGATAAGGACAGTAAATGCCATAAACCCCCCCCCCCCCCAAAGTCTTTTTTTCGA